CCAAGGCCACCGCGGGTTCAGAGGGCAAACTGAGGGCCAGGGGTTCATTACCACAGAGACGCACACCCTCTCTCTCTCTCACACACACACACACACACACACACACACACACACACATTTAAAGGACCATGGTGTCTTTGCATGAATCCTCCATTAACTTCTGTTTATCAAATCAGTTGCAGAAATGTGTCAGAGGTAAATTAAGTTACTGTTTAATGGTGAACAAGGTTATTAAAGCTTGTTAATACAAAATAAAACCAGCGGACTGGGCCGGACGTACATTTCTCTACCTCTGTTACACCGATGACACTTTGACATGTCGAGAAGCCAGGACTCGTACCACCGACCTTACAATTAACCAACAACCCGCTCTACCACGGCCACCGCACGCAGTATATTTTGTGATATCAAAATACAGATATCACGTGTACTAAAACAAACTAATTATATATTTAACATATTACTTATTGTTCTGTTGTCCTGATTCTGACCAATATATAATAAAGTGGAGGTGGTGTATTCACACTGTCCCACATTTACTTGGCCTAGTGTTGATCTCAGAGGTTTGACACCATGGAGGCAAATAAAACACTGATCACAAGTGGTTGATATAAAATCATATCATAATAGTTTTCTTGCACAATTCCAACATTTGAGAAAAACAAGGGCAGACGTGATGTTGTCTCTATGGCGACCTGAGAAAGACAGAAATATTCTGTGGAACAATTCACGGATCTTGATTAAATAAACGAGACGTATTCAGAGCTGTGATATCTGTGAGCGTGTCTGACTGAACTTCAGGGCCTGTTGGCAGAGCTGCGCTCTCTCTTAGTGAACCTCTAACTTTTAACTCTACTTCAGTGTCACAGTTAGTTGTTGTGATCATTTCACTGTCGCCACCTTGAATATTAACACATGAAAACGAATCCTTCCCGTCTTTCAACTTAAAACCAGCCTGATGCCCCCCCCCCCCCGAGTCGAAAATAATTTGCAAACCCTTAGGAGATCATTTCAGATTTTGCAAAGACAATACATCTCCGGTGACCACACACCATCTCAGCCCGTCGTTCGGGGTAATGAGGTGACGGCTGATGGTGGCCTGTAAAGTTGTAATGAGGGCCGTGGTGTGAATAGGACAGAGGGCTGGAATGGGTGGGAGAGAACACGATGCTTAATGAGCGGGCCGGCGGGCTCAGCGGTAACCCCGTTGTATCGGCCCGGTCTGAGACAGAATGGGGTGACACAGGGGATCAGGAATTTCAGGGTGGGACAGCACAGGAGGGCCTGAAGTTATTTAGGGAGGGGATGAATAAAAGCTGGGTTAGAAAGTAAATGGGGGTCCTGACCAGCCCCTGTGCTCCGCTCATTGTGGAGATGAAATTTATGGCTCAGGACTTCCTAAGCCAAGGACTCCCCACGTTGACTGGTTAAGTGCTGTGAAACAGTGCGACAAAGGCTGGAGGCAAACAACACTCGGAGATGAGAGGCTGCAGGAGAGGGGACAGTGGAAGACAATGTGGACGATCCACGTTAGAGACACATGTTGGAGCACAGAGCGGCTAATTGGATTTGGACAATTTTGAGGAAGGTCCCTCTGCTCCGCTGGTTCTGTACAGATGATTTAGTGAATCGTAAAAAATCTGTAAATGCAAAGACACATGTTTGACAGACAAGACTGTAGGTAAACACTGGAATGCTTTCATGTCCATTTAATCCCCCACAGCCCGTCTCCATCTTTAGCTTCATCATGATGGCTCCTGTTTGACAAATGAGATTCATGGTCCCTGCGGCCGCCAGGGGACCGTGATGTACGTGTACAGTGGCCGTGTCAACAATTCAGAAGCCGCGTCCTTCAGAGACCGGGTCTATGTCCCTCGTCGGCTGCGTGGACGGCGTCAGCTGAACCAAGATGAAACGGCTTGTCCAGCTCTTACAGCCGTCGCCTAGCAACAGAGCTACGGAAAAAAGAAAGTTCTTTGGTTGATGAAAAACGATGAAAAGTTTTTTTTTTGTTTTTTTTTAAACATTTGAACCCGGAGCCAATATTTCATTTAAAAACATTTTCTTACAACGTTTTCTCTGCGCCTTCTATAAATGGTCACTAAAGCACAATGGATGCTGGGATATTTGGGGCCCGGGAAGGATCCACCCGTGGGAGCCTCTGTTGCTCGGGGGTGGAAGGACGCATTTGTTGATCGTATTTGAAGGAGCCTTCGATTTGAGACACGCTAGAGAGGACAGTTCTGAAACTGGGAAACTTGACGATCTGTTCCATTCAAACAGTAAATTAAAAAATCTGCGGCAGGTAAACCTCTCTGCATTTGTCTGCACAGGCCTGCAGGGGTTTTAAATCTGGTGGATCTGGTGACATTCCCACAAACACACTTGTGTTTTACAACCAATCAATAAAAAGTGATTTGCAGAAACCGAGGATGCAAAAAAGTTTTTAATGCTAAAGAAACTTTATTATTCAGATGAAGAAACGCAGGATAAAAAGATGAAAAATGATCAAACTCATAGCGAATAATGATGACTTCAATTTGAAAGAGCAGAGTGATGCTAATGTTCTTCTTATTTTATTTGAATTCCATTATTTTACTGAACACATTGTGTTTCTCATATTTCTAAAAAGATTAAAATTTCACTTTTTCATTTGGTCAAACACAGAAAGAAATTCCCACAGGTTGTGGATTTCCTGCGTCTGAAATCAGAGCAAGAAGTATTCAGCGCTAAATCTGCAGAATCATGAGTGTGTGTGTGTGTGTGTGTGTGTGTGTGTGTGTGTGTGTGTGTGCATGCATTGTCTTACGAGCTCTCCTCACCCCATTGAGCAGCAGTGATGAAATGGAGATGAGTTAAAGTGCTTAACACAAAGACTGACCAGACCCCTGCGTCGCCACGACAATGAAACCACCAAACGCAAGAAAGTGAGAGGCTCTTGGAAAAACAGAGAGAAAAGGGGAGAGAGGGAGAAGGGGGGAGAAATTAAGGAGGCCGAGGAGAAGTAGGGCTGAACCATCCTGAGAGCAGGAGGGAATAGATGGTGAGGCCGAGGCAGCAGAATGGAGAAGGACCCGGAGAAAATAGCAAGGTAGCTAATCCCTCCGCGGGCATAAAGCAGCTATATGTAAATGAAAGACGTGAAGTTTGGACGTCTTACTTTGATCTATCAATCAGACCCTCCCTCTCTCCCTCTTCTCTCCTCCTTCACTCTCACCCTCTTCTCCGTCCTCCTTCTTTTCCTTGTAAGAAAATCAAGCCTTATTTAGCTTAATCTCACTTAATGGCATCCAGCTCCTCTTTTGTCCTCCCCGATGCTGACAGATTCCCGTCCTTTCACTCACCACCATTCACATATCTGCCCTCCATAATCCTCTTATTCCGGTGGTGTAGCAATTATTTGGAGTATTTTATCAGCATTATGATTATGATCATTTTCATTATCATTATTCATGCAGGCCACACTGCAGAATCTCCTCCCTCCTGCCAGCGCCTCTTATTCTCGCTCGGGGTGAGGCCGCCTGCTTCCTTCCAGAGGGCTGGCGAGTTGCAGGAGTGAAGTCCATTCAGCGAGACACATTTTCTGGGCGTTTGAACATATTGTGGAGTGAGTGTAATGAGTGGCACCAAATCACCCGTCCCGGCTCCTCGACACAGAGAAACATCAAGAATTTGAGGATGGAGGAGAAAGAGGGGGCTAATAATCAAAAGGCCTCCATTCTGTGCAGCAGTAATTACACGGGTGGGTTTTGATCTTTTGCTTGTTGGAGCTGTGAATTGGGGGGGGAGGGGGGAGGGGGGTGAGGACTGTTTCACTGTTGTTGAGGTGGCGCGGAGGGCGGAGGGAGCTTCTAGTCAGAGTGTGAGGTAGATCGGAAATTACAGCGACGCAGATCCGATGAACGAGGCAAAGCAGGATTTTATTTTCCTTCTCTGAGCTGAGCGGGACAGACGGTGAGGAAGGACTCAACAGGTGGAAAGTTTTAAAAAAGTTAGAGAACTTTTTCTACATTGAGCTGCACAGGAATGAACTGATAAAGGAACGTTGACACTAACAAGGACTTTCAGTATTTACCTGCTGTGACAAACATCTTCGGATGCACCGACATCAAAAACTGAGCAGGTCGACGTGTTGGGACATATTTTGTGCACATTCACTTGTTTTAGAAGAAATCTGAATATTTATACTTAAATATTTTGGGGTTTGTGTTTGACTCTCTTTCTAATGTTTTCACTTTTGAATGAATCCCACAAAACTACGTCACGGGTCAAAGAAAGAAGAAGCAAAGAAAATTTCATGCAGATCTGGATCAGGGGGGCGGGTCCTGGAATTTCCACAAACTTTCTTTAACATTGTTCGAATTTCATTTTCACAGTTTCACCAGGAAATAAATCTCTGATCTTGATTTTTGAAATTTGGTGCAGCTTGAACTGGGCCTTGGTGGAAACGTGAGCTCTGCAGAGAGACAACTTGAAATCTGCTCAGTGTCACTGATGATGCATCAATTCTTCCAAGACAGATCTTTATGTTTTGTCATTTATCATTTTCAGTATTCTTTTATAGAGATATACATATCCACCACCCTCTGAGGGTCATAGGATACATGTGACCATCTTCTCTTCTCCTAACATCTTAGTTTTATTTCTTTCCCAGTGTTATTATAGCTTTTAATGTTTCTCTAATGTTAATTATTTAAATATGCAAAATTGACGGTTTATCTGAACGACGTTGGTGAGGTTTGATCAGTTTACACAGTTCAGCCCCGTCTACTTTGAACCGCTGATAAAAAAAGGTTCCAACTGTTGGAGGAGTTGTGTGTTCATGCAGAACTCTGTCGCCCACAGTGGGAAGCAGAGTTATATCATTTTTATCTCATAAGAAATTTTTTTATTTGAATTACTTCCAGCTGTTGCTCCCTGGAACTGTCACTCAGTCATATGCAGCGAGCACACGTTCAGTAACATCCAACAAACTCCAAAGTAGTTTATTTTCTCTTGTGACATAAGAAAAGTGCAACATGGAAACAAAGAGCATCGTCGTGCCAAATACAGAATAGTTGCATAATTTCCAAAAGGATATTTGTGAGTATATAGTCAAATATTATCAACATGTTAGAAAAATAATTTCATATAAAAAAAGTTGCATACATGTAACAGTCATCGAGTCCATTCTTCAGTTCCTCTTCAACTTCAGGGTGTCACTTTGGGAATCTGGGCACCGCAGCTGCGTGGCTGAACCTGGGCAGTCTGCAGACTCCACAGGGGCACAGGGGCCCCCCTGAGGCTCCTGTGGAGCTCCACTGCACTGGGGCCAGTGAAGGTTCCATGGGGCCCGGAGACAGCAGGGGACATTTAGCAGCAGCGGATGATGGAGCGGAGGAGGAAGAGGATGGGGAAGAGGAAGAGGCAGCTGCTGAGGTGAGGATGGATTCTTGGGTAAGTAGGAGCTGACTGGGGCCGGAGATGAGGGGCCACCCTCCAGCGAGCAGCAGCCGGGGGACCGGTCCCGTGTTCACTCCCATCCCGATGCTCACCTCTCCCAGCAGCCGCCGCATCTCCTGCAGGGACGAACCCAGGAGGAGGATGTAGTTCCTGGCCAGGACCAGAGTGGAGATCTTGGAGAGCCTGCGGCCTGGAGGAGCGCCAGGCTGGTGCGACTGAGAGGAGGAGGCAGAGGAAGGCGAGGAGGCGTAAGGCACCATGACCTCCCTCAGGGCATCCATGGCAATGTTCAAGTCCTGCATCCGCTTCCTCTCCCTGCTGTTGATCTTCCTCCTGAGCTCCTGCTGCTCCTCGGGGCTCAGCTCCCTCTGGGGTTTGATCGATCTTTGGCTGCTCTGGAGGCCAAGCATTGGTGCAGGGTGGAGGCGGGAGCCCAGGTTGAAGCCTGGAGGGCAGTGTGGTAAGTCCTGGACAGACCCGGGGCCACAGAGAGGTAGAGACTGTTCCTGGGCCCTGATCACTGGGTTCGACAGCACGTTCATAGTCTCCTCCGAGGGGCGTTTATCTTGAGAGTTGTAGTCCACTGTCGTCAGCAAAACGTTTGAGAGTCAAATTAAAAATAATCTCAGTCAAAGCAAAAGAAAATCACTTTTGGCTTCAGAGAGTTTCTGGTGGCACGAGCTTCCCAGAGTGGCAGCTCGGCTTTATCTCACTTCCACAGCTGCGTGTGGCGAGAATGGAAGCTGGCACAGTGGAAAAGTGAGTTAAATGGTCCCCTCACATAACCCCACCTCAGCTCAACTCCTCCCCAACACATGATGATGCTCTTTACAAACACACGTATGTGCTCGTCTGGCTCTCTGGTGTTTGACAGGAGCAAGTGATGACAAGGAAAATATCAGAAAGAAAAGAATAAGTGTTTGTTTTAGAGATATTATGACGAGGGTTTAAATTCAAACACTCTGTGAACATATGTTGACAATCAAGGTCATAATGCTTTAAAGGTTATTTGAATTGTGAATATGATGAGATCAGATCTTTTTCAGACTGAAAATGATTTTCCTGAACTTTCCTGAACGTTCCTGTGATTTTTGTTACTCAAACATTCGAGGCAACTTACTGCAATAGATTCTTACGCCAACTAAATGTGTTTTGTTCAGAAAATTCACCATAAACAATAAAAGTTGTGTGAACTAATTATGTTTATAAAAGATAACAAACAGAGCAACATGGGGAGCTCAATGGAATGTGCCGCCGCAGCCGCTCAACAACCATTAGAGGACTTTGTTATGTGCCGGAGAGCAGGTATTAGCCGTGCGTATTAACTGTGTCAGAGACCAGTTTTGGCAGACAGTCAATGGATACATCTTTGTGTGTGGAGAGTTAATTGATGGTGTAGAGGAGGAGGTTATTGTTGCTCAGTTCTGAGCGGCCACGCTAACCAAATTGGCTGGCAGCGAGCTGGGCACGGTTCCAGGCCGGCAGACAACAGACCAATTGACTCCGACCACAGGTGAAGCTGGCGTGGGGCACCAAGCAAGGCTGGAAACCTCAGATGTGCCATTCATGAGCCACAAAAAGACCTCGGCATCACTCCGTTGCACACTGAGCCTGGTCGTCCTCTTTTCTGCACCCCCCCCCGCTCCTCCTGCTTGTAAAGCCCATCTGAGAGGGAGAAAAGGAAGGCAGGGGGAAGACGGGAAGCACCGCACCGTTACACACAGAAAGCAAGTTGTTTACGATGAAAGCAGAAGGAGATGCAGCGGAGGAAGACCCTTTCTTTCGTCCCCGGCCGCTCGTCTCTTGTCGTTCAACAAGTGAAAGATGTGTTTGGAGGCGCTTCCCTTCCCCGCCAGTGGTCCGGTGGCGTCCGCCTGGTGCTGTGATTGAAGCTGAATGGATGGATTCCAGACGGACAGGAAAGGGAGGGCCCCATGAAAAGGGCCAGGCGGATGGCCCTCGCACCTGCAGGAAAACAGAGTGCAGGCAGCCAGGATGAATGTGTGTGTGTGGTGTGTGTGTGTGTGTGTGTGTGTGTGTGTGTGCTCAATTTGATTCTAGTGCCTGTCTAACAATGAGACGCACTAAACGGAGTAATGAAAGAAGCCGTGATGCTTTCACTGTATTTTTTGGGATGTGGTTTCTGTGTCAAGAGAAAAAAAGGACACCTGCAAGGAGCCACACACACAGAAGTCAGAAAGGAGGAGAGAGAAAGAAGCTGGTGTCTAACATAAAGTGCACCTCCCCCCACGTTCTTTATCCACCAGGCAGAGAAAAGTGAGCTTGATTTGGGGCTCAGCATATCCGCCCCCCAGCTTCCAGGCTCCTTTTGATGAGGCTGGACCAGGGCAGGAGCACCGGTGGCTTCAGGGCAGGGGGAAGACTAGTGTCTTTATGGTGGAAGGACTACTATCCATCTGGGTAAGGCCGGCCAATAGTGGGTCTGCACCTGGGAGCTAAATGCCTCGTCTGTGTGGAGTCATTTCCTGCGGCTGACAGGCAGGAAGACACCTCAGCCAAACGTCTGGGTCAATGAATCCACCAGTACAGGATGAAAAATACACCCAACGTGCCACCGCTGAAAAAAACCTGCGGTTATGAAATCCTTTGGTTTGTGGCGTTCATCAGTGGAAGGCACGTGTGCAAATCTGAAAACTTGCACAGCAGCGAAATATAATAAGACGTGAAGAAGTGAAATAAACAGTTTGTTTTGCCAATTGTATTGATTTTACATGTATGTGTTTAAATAAGTTTCAGCTGCGTCACCAGATTAACACACAATTATTTCGAAATACAATAAGCAACAAGCAAAACGTTTAATTAATGAACTGCAAACATTTTACATTTGAACGTGTCCTGCTTTATGTCTCAATGACATATTATTCGTAGAAGTCCATAATGTTCTATTCGTTGACCACAGATAAACTCTACTCACTTTTTGTCACCAGTAAAAAATGTTGGTTTGTTTCTGTGCTTGAGTTTATTTCACAAAAAAATTATGTTTTCATATTTTGCCTCTACCACAGATATATGGAAGTTATAAGATTAATAATTAATTAATTGATGAATGCCGTTGATTGACAAACAAACTATAACTTCAAAATCCAGACATAAACGGTCCTATTACAGTTATTCTGGTACTTTTGCTTTTTTACTTGAGTACATCCTTGTTTATTTATTTGTACTTTTACTTAAAAGTACTTTCTCCACCTCAGCAAAGTCTGAGGGCACAATACACGTGAAAGTGCAAAAGAAATGCGTCAGTAAACCAAACTCAAGAAACGCAACGAAGTTTCTAACTTTCAAGGAGAACAATAACTAACGCATCCATTAAAAAGTAAAAGTATTCCACCGCAGTGTTCAACCAGGAGCTGCTCCGGCTGCAGGCTTTGTTATAACGTGCGACTCTAATGAGAAATCAACAGTTGCCAGTGACTGATTCCGTCCCTGTGGGCAAACAGGTGCAGCGTCAACAATGAAAATACAGCAGCGCAGGACTTTTGAGATGGAGAAGGCTGCTCTGCATCAAAGTGAGGACGTGGGACACACTCGTGTCTCCGCTCCAGCTCCTGCTCTGTGAGGCCTGGCCAAAGACATGAGAAGATTACAAGCTGTTAATAAGGTGGAACCGATCGGCTGAAGGTTCGCTTTTGTGCTTCCCAGCATGCTTTGTGAGCACTGGCCTGGGATAGTCAGCATTTGGTGCTGATCATAGTGTGGCAGGGATAATGAAGGTGGGGGGGGGTGTAAGGTTTTAGCCCTCGGGCCCTTTGTGAAAGAGAGACTAAATGCTTCACGCTCAATAGCTGCACACGCTCAGTTGGTCACGGTTGTTTAAATACAGATGGACTTTTGCCACATTCATATTTCATGGTGCTAACTGCTCTGCTGACACTTCCTGTTTTATTGGTTGTTATTATGGCCTTATTCCATGTGTCGTCACTTTCAAAATAAAGTCCCCGAATGTTTAAAATGCTTCATAAATGTTTTTTTTTTTTGTGTTTTACATGGATTCGTTTGCAAAAGTCACAGTGAAAAACTCTTTACCTTTAATTGTGGTCATTCAGAATTACACCCAAACATAACCTGACTCTGATTATCTATTGTTGTAGCAGATGTTCCACTCTGAAACAAAGCCACCGGGGATCTGTAGGATGCTGCTGATAGGAAAGTGTGAGTTAACCCGTCTCCCACCGAGTATCCTCAAACCCCCCCGATCCTATTTAACAGTGACAATGATGGATTCACAGACACTAAACTTCAACAGGAATCCTCTTCCCAAGTCAAACACAGAGCTTCTTCTTCTTCTCACCGAGCCGGCGAGGCCCGGGGGCGCCCCAGTTAAAGCCTGAACGCACTGGGGGCGGGTCGAGATGTTTCTTTTCGGGTTTTTATTAGCGGCACAAGGCCAAGGGTGGGTTTACAGAGGTTATCCCCGTCTGTGTGGAGGGCGGTGCAGCCACATCCAAAGTCACTGTTAAAGTGAAAGCCGGCAGCAGTATGATGGATGAGGATACACGTCTCTAAGATCAGACTTGTTGTAGTGACGAGGTTCAGGCAGCGGAAGAGAAACAGACACTGACTTATAGTGTCTGACGGGTTTAAACCTCCATGCTTGTGAGGGACCGGCACAATGGTGCCTTCACGACAACAGCATCTCCATGGTCAGAGCAAAGAGCCTGAAGACACAGGTTTGAAAATCAGTGCTGCACCAGATCGATACAGAAATGTGGTGAAAAACGTTTTCTTCTTTTTCATGAGCGTCATTTCACATTTGATCACATTGTTCTCGTTTCACAAACTCTTGCCGATCTATGTTGGCAGATGGATGCAGTGGATGTAAGATGATTCTTTCAGGCCTTGACGGACACATCTGTCGGCCTACACCCTTTATCACACACACACACACACAC